AGGCAGCTTCCAGTCGAGCAAATTGTTGACAAGAAAACAACTATTTTATTATTTTACAAAGAATTGGAAACTCGTGCGTTTTTTTTCTGCCTGCAGATATTGTTTAGTGGGATTGCAGTTTGAAATCTTCACCAGTCGCTTGCTTAGACAGCAAAAGCACAGTCCGACTTCACGCTTGTGTGGTAATGGATGATTGTTAAAAAGGGACGACTGACTGTAGACAGAAAGACAAGTTGGCCTCTCACTTTATTGCATGCGAAAAGCGACTTATTCACACAATCATGAATCAGTTGTCCATTTTAATTACGAAAGACAATAAAAAAATTACCATTTTTGTGTAAGCTAATGAAGTTGCTGGGAAAGTGACTTGTTGTCAAACGTCAAACGAGGGATGAGCGCGGAGGGGGGGGGGTGGAAGGAGGGAGGCAGCGTAACAGGGAGCATACGGGTGAATACACTTGGCGCATGGTGCCAAAATTGCCACACCCTTAGGTTCGAGTCGTTATGGCGAGAGAGAGAGAGAGAGAGACAAAAGACAATGGTTTGCAAACTCTGTGCTTATGAATGCAAATAACCATATTTAAAGTTTGTTTAGCAACCAATGCCTTGTATTTACCCCCTTTCCTTCCCATCACTAGTGCCATTCCTTCCAGTCGTTTTGTGGGAATCACAACAGTTCAGCACCAACAACAAAAAAGAAATTTGTTAGAATGAGTGAGCATTTGGGGGTCTCATTCAGTGTACAATTCCTGGCGCGTATTGTCATCACGATGGCTGATGGGAAGTGTTGTTGGAACCCACTTCTAACGTGAGAGAGAGAGAGAGGGAGAGAGAGGGAGTGTGAGAGAGGACGAACTATGTGATACACAATGTGGCATTTGATTTGGAACTGCTTTAATAACGGCATTACAACTTCTTAAGTCTACTTGGAGAGTGAACACTGCAGAAGGTGAACAATTTTGTTCACTTAATGCCAGTTAATGTAAATGTGAGAATATTTGTTTAGCCGGACGGAGGGAGTGAACACCATAACCGCCTAGTAATTTTATGGAGGAGGAAAAAGAATAACTAAATGTTCCAATTGTTAAGCAGTTGCTAATGGCAACCAAATCATCAGTTCGGACATCTTGTCAATCGACAGTGAAACGTTACTCAAATATGAAATTGGCTACACCTTTGAAGGTGTTTCAATCCATCGTCTCCACCGGTCACAAGTAGTGGAGCAGGAGGCAAAGGTGGGATCAAAGGTGACAATGAAGCGGCTATTACGTGTGGACCACTTGACAAGCGGTGGCTATTGACAAAACAATTGAGAGAAGGCACAGCCAAACTCATAAAGACCATTGAAAAAAAAAATATTTCGGCTGTACTTTTATAATTGTGCCGTAGTGAGTCTCGGCACCTCAAGCACGGTGCCACCGTGCAGACCGCCCTTCCATAACACTTGTACTAGTGCTTTCAATCGGTCCTGTGTGGTCTCAGCTTCTCGCCTCCAACGCTTTACAAAACAGGCGTTTAAAAGGCGATTATTTAAATGAAGTCCCCTAATGAAATGAACCAAATGGTGGTTTTGTATTGTCTACCGATGCCCTAACAACGGACAGTGGTATTTATAGCCACAAGCCGTTCTTTATGCTGACCACCATAAATACCACTTGCAGCACGCTTGGGCGACGTTAGAGGAGTAGTCTCGAAAGAGTTGAGGCATTTGAGACATTGAGCGACAAGTGCATAAAGTCACTTCTCCTATGCCAAGGAAGGTCGGGGATTTTGTCACCCCTGCATTTTGCCCAGCGCCAAATTTTATAGTGCTTTGGTCTAAGGACCAAGGAGCCCAACAATGAGATGAGAGAATATAGTCGTTTAAACATGACAAGCATAAATTTTGTTAATTCTTCAACACTGAATCTTTCTCCCTTTTGGCTTCACTGAACAACCATCGATTATCACGACAACTGCGACAACCCCATGACAATAACCTCGGATAGCGTTTAAGACGGATGAAGAGAGCGAATTAGCTTCCACCTTCATGCATAACTTCATTATTTGCAAGAGAAAAAGAAGTAACAAAAAAAAACAGTTCTATGAATAAAGAAAGAGGTGAGCAACGCACCTGTAGGAGGCACGAAAGCGAATAGAACCTTCCAGAAGACGGTGAGAAAATGCATGACGTAGTCCATGCACGAAGGCATCTTTACTTCGCCCTCGGCAATGGCCTCCAGATCGTCGGCATCACCTGTGAGCAAGAGAAAGGTCTCTCAATTGGCATGGGATAAAATATGATAGAAGCAAGAGGAAGAGGAGGCGATGGTTAGTGTTTTGTTGACCTACCCCCAGAGGTCGAAGCATGCTCTATGAAGTGGACAAGAGAGGGTGAAATTCAGGCAAGTACTGTGATATAATCCTAGTTAAAACTTTATTTTTAAGCTCTTAACTCGTGGTTTGGATACCGCAGACACTTTGGATGCCGTAATTACACGTCCACTGGGAGCCATGGTCTTTGAAGCATGCTGGCACCTCTCCACCCCTTTGACCCGTCCGTAGTGCTTTAGGCTTTAGTAAACTCTGATATTATTCCATATTTATACTTTAGAGAAGTCTTTGTGGACTACACCTTTCAATCTTATCTTGTAAGTTAAAAAACACCTCGCAAAGGTGATGAACGTACCAGCATTGACAGTGATTGCGTCTACGAACTGCTCCTTCCAGGAAGAAGTACCGACAAATAGAACCCACTTTCCGTGTTTAATCAGACGATCCACCGTGTTCTAAACAAACGCAATAATGCAATTTGGTCTACGCAAAGGAGGGGTAAAAGAAGCCAAAGGAAACAACGATTTGTGCAAGATGGCAAAAATTCGGTATACTCAGTCAAAAAAAAAAATAAATAAATAAATAAAGATGATGCGCCTTGCAATTCAAGTAGCACTCAGTGAAGGTCTGGACAGATAAACTAAACGACCTGATGTGATACCGTTGATTGAATCTGTCAAATGTCATTAGGCTTGACTGCTTAAATTGATGAAATTGGTCAACTCCCAACGGTGAGGTGAAGTCGGCTTCAGAGAAAAGCGTGTTCTGGGTCAGTGGTTTGTAATCTCGACTTTATCCATTCCAAATCCGGTGTGACGTGCAATATTGGAACGCCATGGGTAGTTCGCTTGACTTTTCAAGCTATCACAACCACTTCAATGCTTTAGTAGTGACAAGTTTAAGCTTCTGGCTGAGAAACACAATAAGTCGAAACAATAGAAATTGAAGGGAAGGGTAAAAGCGTTCTAAAAAAACTTCCTTATTTGGCTGGCCGTTCTTAACGACTTCGAGGTGTAAAAATCCCCAACAACTGGTAGTCACAAATGACATAGAAATGACTATGAGCATAAAATGCACCGTTTTGGCAATTTGGAGGCCAAAAATTACTTTTCTTGTGGATAGTCGTGAACCGAAGTTTTGCCACGTTGATAAATGCCACTGTTTGCACAGAGAGGGGCACACAAATTGTCTGACCCAATCTCTTGCTCTTCTACTACTGCGTCTGACCAACACAGAGGTGCTTTGTGGATCTCGCATTTCGAGAGTGAGGAAAATTTGGGCAAAGAAAATAAGCTCATTAGTAGAATGATTGGTCTTTGCACTTCCAATGAATGGGTCAGTCTAAGAGTTACGCTTAAAGCCTTCCAACTCCCCTGTACGCCGGTTTTGCCTTGAAGGCGGGCGAGAGTCGTCGGTGTCAGTTCCCACAGCACCAACTACGCTGTGAAGGCTGATTCGAGAGAGAGGGAGAGAGGACTATGAAGTATTTTTACCACTGCGTTATGTATGGACGGAGGCTTAGGACTCCACTCATGCACCTCCGATGGGAGAAATGACCTCAGGGACGGGGCCATAGCCTCTCCCTTCTACATATGTGGAACACATTTCCTGCTCTAGCATTATTCTCTTATTTTCCTTGGTAGTTGTATACACGTTGGTGAAAGGGTATTAAATCAGTGCGCTACTCCTGAACGCCCACCCAAAGCCAGCCTATTTCGTATTGAAATAAATCAACCTGTTCTGAAAAGTTGAGGCCTTCTTGCACCACGGTTTACTACTATCCGATTAGCAGAGATGACCTTCGTCAGCCAACTGGCGTGACCCTGCAGACGGATATGAAAACTGATTTTTTTCATGAAAAGCAATGCAATTTGCATAGATTCACTTGTATGTCTTCTACACACCTTCAGTTCAGTGCTCTCCTTGATAGTAACACGGAGGCGAGTGAATTGGCCGAGACGTGGCAATCCTGTGTCGAGTCCCTCGGTGTTGATGACCTCGCCAGCCTTGGCAGGATCTATTTTGCGCATCAGTGACCCCCTTTTGTGGTTGTCTGGAAGAAGCTTCTCCGACATCATCGTGAAAAATGAGCGAGCACCTGCAGAAAAGAATTTAGACACTTGTCTATTTAGACTGGAGAACAGGAACTACACCTTTCTTCGGTCCTTCCTTGATTAGATTGACCAAATTTAGCCCAACGGAGTGATAAAAATAGACGCCAGTGATGAAGCGAGACATCTGAGCAGTGGAAAACCAAGCAAATGTGGCTCCATAAATCATTCGGATGAACGATGCAGCCTATCCTCCAAGATGACAACTGTGCGACTCATTTTTATTGATAGATCAGTCTGTATAAATGAACTTAATAATGTTAGTAAGCAAGGAACATTAAATGTCACCTTTACAGCCCTTCTCCTCGCTAAATTCTGTGCTCTTCAAGCGATTTAACTTCCTCAACAAGTTGATGAAGGAAAGTTTCATCACAGAACACACAATTTATCCATAACTTTGTGCTCCTCGTTAGCCCAAGTGGGGACCTCCTTCCTTGATTTTTTCTGGCTACCATATACTACTTAAGTCCGTTGTTTCAAGTAGCACTATCACAAAATATGTATGCTCACATAAAATTTAACATTGTGCAATGTGGTGTGGGTGAAGTGAGCAACAAATGGGGCGAATCAGTGCCAAGCTTAAAATAAACAATTCTTTCGCTGCTTTCACCTGTGCAGAAGGGAACAGTTAATGCTTTAGTGCTGCTACACACTCTTCAGCTTTCATTCGCACTCAACGAATCCGTTTGTACCTTAAAGGAGGAAATAGGAAATAAAAAGATGTCCCCTTATCGAGACCCAGGTAGTTCTAGCCTCAACTTACAATAAGTATTTGGGGAGCCCACGAAACGTGGAGACCGGTGACAAAAGCAAAAGAACAACAAACACCTCCATTAACGAGAGATCTGCCCAAATCACGCAAATAGCCTTTACAAATTGAGAGTAGCCCTTCTCCCACTCACTTCCATTCAGCATCCCTTTATGGGAGTGTTTTTCTTTCAATCAGAACACTTCACGTCTGTTCATTAAAACGGCATGATAAACTGCCACATTCCATTAACCCAATAACCTTTTTGAGGCCTGCGGCAACATAAATGTGGACTGTGAGTGCCTAAAGTAACCAAATTTTTAATGAATTTAACCAGTCCTGTTGCCTCTCATCTCCCCTCTCCAGTTAGGTATCAAAGTGATCGCGCTTCTGCTGTTGGTCAAAACAAACCTGACCGACATAGCCAGAGGTGGTTTCGTGTGTTGCGACCGTAGAAAGTGTTCGACTGAAGTCATGCCTTAAAAGGGAGGGGAGTGGAGAATTAGAGTGAAGTGATGCAATCTTAAAGGGAAACGTGGGAAGCAAGTGGTGACCAGTTTAGGTGAGAGGATTTCTGATACATTTTTTTTCTAAAACATTTGACTAGAACACATTTGGTCTTACAAAATCAAGTAACAATTAAATACTCTCGGTGCAACTTAATTAGGGGTGATCTAGATTTCCCCTTTAAGTGGCAAAGTCATTTCCACTTCCGAGTTGGAAGTAATCTCTCCCAAATTTTTAATGCCAAGGAATGACCCCTCTTTTTTCTTCCCGATTCAAGAGAAAGTGGCACTATACTTGCATCCAAAATCTCTTCATAGGGTCAAAAAGTGATGCTGGAACGACTAAAATCTCTCACCAAGATAATTCCGAGGTGACGACACATCTAATGGACACGGATGTGTTAAAAGGTCGCCGAAAGGTGTCGAAGTCATTGCATAACTGCGCCTCCTACCCTTCAACGCCAAAACACCTTACAGAGCACGACACGGAGAAGGTGAAATCTCAGCAAATTCGGTCAAGACGTGGGTTGAAGTAGAATTCGGATTGTTGTAGCGAGATGAGCAAAAGCTAAGGCTAAAAGTGATTCCTTTCTGCCTCAAACAAGGCACAGAGGTGTGTAAGTTTTGGTCCTTGATAACCCTTCATTAATGTTTGGGATCCCTTGGCGCTCTACAATTTCA